GGAATCGAACTCATGACCTCGTGCTTGCCAGGCAGATGCTGTGCCCCTGAGCTAAATCCCTAGGCTCCCCAGGCTGGTTTTGAACTCACACACAACGATCCTCCCGCCTCAGCCTCCTGAGTGCTGGGATTACAGGCATGCGCCACCACGCCCGGCCATGTGGCACACGTTGTAAAAGGATGGGGAATGGTTCCTTGGAGTTCCCCCTGAGCCCCAGGGGTCCTTAGCCACAGCGGTAAATGTTCCTGAGTGTGCTCACTCCTGGGGTATCTAGTGGGCACCACAGAAAATGCTTGGTCCCTAGATGTGAGGCATTGGTAGCTGTGAGGTGCTGCTGTCTCAGCCCAGTAGCAAGGACGTCTCCGAGGCAATGGTGCACTTGAGAATCATCCAGAACCCTTGCTAACTGCACATTCCTGCCTGCGGGGCGCTGGCCAGGCACTGGAGCCCTGTGTGCAGCAGCCTGAGTGTGTAGCAACTGCGGGGGCTTCTGGTGTGAATTTCAGGAGCAGCATTAGGTGCTGACCTTTCTCAGAGTCTTTAAGTTCCTGGTACTTGCTAAGTGAGTAGCTGCAGCATACTGAAATCTTAAAAGAAAAGAAATCTTAAAGGAAAAAGTCTTAAAGAAAAATAAAGACATGGTAGCATAGCCTGATAAGCTAAGGCAGGGGGACTGCAAGTTTGAGCACATCCTGGGCAGTGTAGACACTTAGCAAGATCCGGGCTCGGATTTAAAACGAGCTGGGGTGTCGCTCAGTGTGAAGGCCCTGGGTTCCATCCCTAGCACCACCCCCACACATGCACACACAACAAAAGTAAAGTTGCCCAGTTTGGCGGAGTATGTTTCTCCTATTTCTTCCTTTTAAGTGGTAATAGTACAGTAAAAAAGGACGATGTTTTAATTTTTTAAAATTTTATTTTGGTACTGGGAATTGAACTCACAACCGTGCGCTTGCCAGGCAAGTGCTATGCCGCTGAGCTAAATCCCTGGCCCTAATTTTAAAAGGATAGCCACTTTTTTTTCAGTACTGGAGGTTGAATCCAGAGTCTTCACACTGAGTGACATTCCCTGCTTTTTACTTTTATTAAATTTATTTACTTATTTTTTGTTTTTTTGAGACAGGGTCTCCCTTTGTAGTACAGGCTGACCTTGAAGTCACTATGTAGCCCGTGCTCACTATGGGCTATGTAGCCCATAGCCCATGCTGCCCTGGATATCACCGTGGTCTTCCTGCCTCAGCCTCCTAAGTGCTGGGATTACAGGTGTGTGCCACCATCACCAGCTTTTATTATTTTTTAATTTATACGTATTTATTAGTTAGTTGTTTGAGACAGGGTCTTGCTATGTAGCCCAGGGTGGCCTCTAGCTGGCAGTGATCCTCCTGCCTCAGCCTCCCGAGAGCTGGGATTGTGGGTGTGCGCCACATCCAGCTTTAAGAAAACAGGAAAGGGTACACATTCACACCGTAGTAAAGTCTGAAGCTGCTGCCCCGGGAGCCCCCTTTCTGCTGCTCACCGCAGGTTCCTTTCCTTGTCTTTCTATGCCGGTGACCCTGGTCTCAGGAGTGGAAGAACGTGGGTGTCGAGCAGCTGCGGCTCAGCACGGTGGACATGCTGGGGGTCCCCACCTTGGTGAACCTGCACAAAGGAGTCCAGTTCACCCTCAAGTACCAGTCCCTGGGCCAGTGTGTCTACGTGCACTGCAAGGCTGGGCGCTCCAGGAGCGCCACCATGGTGGCCGCGTATCTGATCCAGGTAGGTGGGCGTTGCAGGGCGCTGAACGTTTGTGGGTACGGCTGGCCGACAGGCCTTGCTGCAGGCGCCACTGCCCAATTCCCAACTGCTGGGGTGGGGGGTACCGGGATAGCACCTGAGCTTCGTGGGCGGCTCATCTCGGCTCTGCCACCTGCCAGGACAGATGGAAGTGCACTCTTCTGTCTGATGCGATATCCTCAGACTTCATGTGTTCCAAAACTTAAGTAAGAGACTGTGTTAAGGGCTAAGCCTGACACACCTAGGTCCACCTCTGCTATCCTAGCGCTTGGGATGCTGAGGCAGGAGGAGCTCAAATCTGAGGCCAGCCTGGGCAACTTAGCAAGATCTATCTCAAAATAAAAGGGGGAGGCGGCGGGGGCCATAGGTTCAATCCCTGGTATGACGAAATTAAATGAAAGAACAAATGAACACTCTTCCTGGCCATAATGATGAGCTGCAGAGAAACATCTACCACACACTCATTCAGTCCTTTGTTGTGGTACAGGGGTTGAACCCGGGGCCTCACACATGCTTGGCTAAGTGCTCCACGCTGAGCTACCTGTACCCTCTTATTATTTTTTAATCTTTTTGAGACAGGGTCTCACTACACAGTTCAGGCTGGCCTTGAACTCACTTTGTAGCCCAGGCTGGCCTTGAACTCGCAATGGTCTTCCTGCCTCAGCCTCCCAAGTGATGGGATTACAGGCATGCGCCACCATGCCCAGCTTGCTCTCTCATTTTAAGACAAGGTCTTGCTAAGTTGCTGCAGCTGGGCCCTGACTCTGGGTTCAGGCAGCCCTCCTGCCTCAGCCTTCCAAGTACCATATCTGACGGTAGAGTGTGATTAACACTCCCTAAAATGGAGTTTTCTGCAAAATTCTGGGAGTCCTCTGGCAGCCACTCCTTCCTCTGCTGACCCCATCCTGGACTCATGCAGGTGCACAATTGGAGCCCGGAGGAGGCCGTCGAAGCCATCACCAGGATCCGGCCCCATATCCACATCACATCTGGCCAGTGGGAGGTCCTCAGGGAGTTCTACGAGGCTGTCTCTCCACGGGCAGCAAGGACTGACACGTGACATGTCAGAGACACGAGCTTTGTGGCTGAGAAAGAATCCGGACAGCTCCACTTGAGACAGAACAAACATTTACAGGGCCAGTGGGGCGTCTGCTGCCTCCACACGACAGGAACGTGCTAGGTGGTGGGTTACTCTGCTTCCTTTGCCTGGTATCACTGTCCTCAAATAACACTGCTGTACGGCTGGAAAGGAAGAGACTGGTGTGCCTAAATTTTATTTTCTTAAGGTTAAAAAAAAAAAATATTTTCAACAAAAACCTATTGTGTAGCTAATATTGTGCCTAATTCTATTTAGCACTATAACGCAAGATTTTTAGGGAAGGGATCTGAAAGAGGAGCAACAATCCTCCTGCGTCAGCCTCCCAGGTGGCAGGATGACAGGTGTGAGTCCCGAGGCCTGGCTGACCCAGACATTAAGCCCTCGAGCGGGAAGCCGCAGCTCTGGCTGTTGCCGCCGTCACAGTCCCACTGCCTCTGCAGCGGTGTGTGCATTTGTACGAGGACACGGGCGGCTGCGGGCGGGGACTCGGGTTCGGCCTCAGTTCTCCTTTGGGGTTCAGCACAGTCCCACACATCCCTTCAAAAACCTTTATTTGTATGAACATGTGTTTATAGCTCGATTTAGCCCAGAACCTTGAAAAGAGCAGACACCTTACACATTATGTTGAGTTTGGAAAGTTTCTGCTGTCAATTAGAAGTAATTCCTTCTGTTTCCACTCACCCTTGGAGCGAGCCAAAATGAAAACAGAAGCCATTTTGCTGATGGATGGGTGGACGGAGAGACTAAAATGAATGGCTGACTCCCAGAGCTGACCCTTGCTGGTGCAGGACCCCTTCAGCTTAGCTTTTCTCCAACCAAAGTTGGAAGGGAAACCCTGGCCCTCATCCTCCAAGAGAAAAACTCAACTACCGTGCCACCGGCCACAGGGACAAGGGGGCTGGGCCTTCCGTCTGGCCCAGAACCGGGGCTGCGTCTACTTCACACGGCTCGGGAGGCGGAGGCGAGGCCCAGGGTGCGGGGAGGGCAGAGCAGGCGGGCACCGCTAGGTGCACACGGCCAGCACAGCAGTGGCCTAAGCAAGCCCTGACCAGTCACCCTAGGGGCTCAGGCGAGGACCGAGGGGCTGCCTTCGTAAGAGTGTCCAGAAGACCGTTCTGGGGATTGGGGCTCAGGGCTTTGGGGTCCGGCTGGGGCGGTGGGGAAGACGGAGGGTGAAGACGTGAGCTGCTCGCCCCGTCCCCACCTTAGGCCAACACGAACTGCAGGTTGGTGAGCAGCACCTTGAGGCCCCTGGTGACGGTCACCGCGGACGTGGCCGGGTCGAGCTTGTAGGTGTTGGCATCCCCCTTCTTGTATCGGTCCCGGAAGACGTAGATGCTGCCGTTGCAGCTGGCGATCTTCCAGAGGGACGGGGCCGAGCTCCAGGCCTCGGGCAGGCAGAGGCGTGTGAAGCTGTCCAGCAGGGGGTTGTAGCACACCAGGGAGTCCCCCTCGGCCACGATGAACACCAGATCCTTGTGCACGGCCGCGTGCATGCGGCCCGCGAAGGGCAGCACGTAGGGCTTCACGTGACACTTGTCCGTCTCGGTGTCGAAACACTGGATGAGGCGGGAGGGCTTGGTGAAGAAGTCCAGGTCGTTCTCCTCGCCCCCGAGTAAGTAGATGATCCCGTTGAGGTTGGCCCCGGCGGCCCCCGACACCGCCACCTCCAGCTGGGTCGTCTCCGTCCACACGTTGTCGCCGACGCGGTAGTAGATGACGGCATTGGAGAGCGTGTCCTGCAGCGTCTTGCCCCCCAGCGAGTAGATGGCGTCCTTGCCGGGCACGGACACCAGCGTGTGCTGCAGCCGGTCCCGCGGCAGCGGCGCGCACCACTCCCAGTCCACCGTGGCGTTGTTGCACTTCCACATGCGCCGCGGGATGGAGCCGCCCACCACGTACAGGTCCCCGCCGTGCTTGCAGGCTGCCGTGATCTGGTGGCACAGGCTGTTCTGGCCGCTGACGCTGATGGAGTCGTCCTCCGCACAGTGCAGCGACACGGCCAGGGAGTGCGTGCGCGAGGACTCCTTCCCGATAAGGTAAATGTGCACGTTCTCCCCGATTTCCTGTCGGCGACATCAAAGCATGAGTGGCGGGAAGCGCTCGGGGAAGGCTCAGCCGAGACACGGTCTGTGAGGTCCCGGGTCTCACACGGGCCGTGCGTGCTCCAGCCCACTCTCGTCCCTGCCTGTTGATCTGCCTCCCCAAACTGCTCCCCTTCCTTTAGATGTTTCACACTGTGGCAGAGAACGGGCTGCGCTTGCAGCCTGTTAAAAACAAGCACAAGCTGGTGCTTCACCTTTTTTGAAGCGCTGGAGATCAAACCCAAAGTCTCACGCATGTTAAGCAAGTACCACTGAGCTATTCCCTCAGCCCAAAGATTCTCAACTCACTAATGAAAGTTCTCTCAAGGAGCTTGAAGCCGATGGTGGTGCACACAAGAAATCCCAGCAAATGGGAAGCTGAGGCAGGAGGGTGGAGATTTTTGAGGCCAGCATGGGCTACACAGTTCAAGGGCAGCCTGCACTACAGTAAGACACTGTCTCAAAAAACAAAACAGGGGGCTGGCGACTTAGCTCAGTGGCCCAGCGCCTGCCTGGCAAGCTCAAAGTCATGAGTTCGATTCCTGGTACTGGAAAAAAACCAAACCAAACCAAACCAAAACAAAAAAAACCCAAAACAATGAACCAAAAAGGAGTTTTGGAGCCAGGCGTGGTGGTGCACACCTGTAATCCCAGCGCTTGGGAGGCTGAGGCAAGAGAACTGCTATGAGTTTGAAGCCAGCCTGAGCTAAAAAGTGAGTTCAAGGCCAGCCTGAGCTGCACAGTGAAACCCTGACTCAAAAAGACAAGTAAAAAAAAGAAAAATTTGAAGCTCATAGATTGGTGGCTTCTGTGATCCCAGACATTCTCCTCCCAGCTCCTATCAACTTCAGCCAGAGATCATTTATTCAACAGCCATCAGATGCCAGGCCAGCTGACGGCTGGAACACACAGGTTATGCTGACCTGGTTATTAAGGAGGAATCCACCTTACCTTCAAGCTAGTCCTGAGTGACTCAGAAAAAGCCTCTCTTTCTTCTTTATTGAAATTGATCCAGGCTTCTATTGCTTCTGTGGGGTTCTGGGAACATGGAACTCCATCTGTGAGGGCCAGAAGAAAGCTGCGGTTAGTAATAATCCAAAGGAGAAATTCAAAGAACCACTTTTTTAGACTACCGCTGTATATGACACCAGACACATGTACACGCACATGCACACACACACACACACATGCATCCAGAGTACACACAGGTCAGATAAGAATGCTTTGGCCCAAAAAAGATTACTTCTTTTTTTCTTTTTTTTTTTTTTTTGGTTTTTCTCCGGTACTGGGAACCGAACTCACGACCTTGCGCTTGCCAGGCAGGCGCTTTGCCGCTGAGCTAAATCCCCAGCCCCTCTTTTTTTCTTTCCTTTTTTTTTTTCTTGGTACCAGGAATCGAACTCAGGACCTTGTCCTTGCCAGGCAGGTGCTGTGCCGCTGAGCTATATCCCCAGGCCCTCTTTTCGTTCTTTTTTCTTTTTTTCTGTACTGGTGATTGAACTCAGGGCCTTCAAACTGAACTAGATCCCAGTCCACTTTTTATTTTTAGACAAAGTCTTGCTAAGTTGCTCAAACTTTTGATCCTTCTGTCTCTTCTCCTAGTGCACTGGGGTTACAGGTGTATGCCATCACACCTGGCTTCCTCGCTTCCCTTTGTGAGAAAGTGCCACTGCTTTTCTTTTCCTGGCTGTTGCTCCTGTAAAGCACTCCATCCCTGACGGCGGCTACCCTGAACTCCAACTCAACAGTGAAGCTCATCCTTAACCTAAACCCCTACCCAGAAGCCTGCAGCTCCTTTCTCCTGATGAGGAGACCCCCTGGGCCTCACGACCAGCGGTCCCTCCCTCAGTACCTGAGATGATATCCGTGAGCAGGTGGTGTGGCAGGTGCAGAAACTCTTCCGTGCCCTGCAGCTGGGCCAAGTGGGTCTTGGCACAGTGCTTGGCGGCGGTGTAGAGCTCGGGGTCACTGTGCCGATCTGCCAGCCACATCACCTGCAGGCAGTTTCCCACCTGCACCGTGCGGGCCAAAAACCGAGAACATTCCTCAAAGAGAGACGTCAGCTGGTACATGTCTGACACCTCATAGATTTCCTGCAGCTCATCAGCCCGGAGTTTCACGGTGCCGTGGTAGATGTAGTCCACCAGCAGCTGGAACACAGACTCGCTGACATCCTGCAGCACAATCACCCGGTTGTGAGCCTCCTTCAGGTTGGACGTGAACATGGACCGAAAGAAGCAGCTCTGGGCAGAGAGGACCAGCCGGTGGAGCTGAAACTCGCGGCCTTCCACGGAAATGGTGACATCGGCAAAGAGCTCCTCCTCCAGACACAGCTTCATGATGCCCTGAGCCACTCGGCCTGAGTGGGAGCGATCTCTGAAAGTGTAGTTTACAAAGTAGTTCTCATCCATGGACGCTCCCGGCTCCTCGAGTGACTCCATGGTGGCTAACTTCTCTCTCTGCAGCTGGGAAATTCACAGCCGCAGTCCGGGACTCCAACTGGCCAACCTGGGGAGGGAGAGGGAGAAACTGAGCCCCACATGGGCCAGACTGGCCTTAGTGCTGGCCTGGCCGGTGACATCCCTGCAGGAGTCTTCAGCCAAACCTGGGCTTATTTTCCGGCAGCTGTGGCCCCTCTCCCAAGGCAATCAACGGAAGTCCCAACTCCGCTGGCTTCCCTGAGAGTACATCAAATATTCTTTTCCATCATGTGACAAAAAGGCCAAAACACGAAAGCAAAGGGCTGGAGGACGCCTTAAAAGCCTCTCTAACGAAATAACTTGGGCATACAACTAGGAAGGCCCCCGGGAAGCGGAACCAGCGGGGAAAAGACCGTCGCGCCCCTGTGCGCCCCACCCCCACCCCGCACGCGGAGCCCAGATCCGGCGGCGGGAGGCGAGGCCTGGGACTCCTCAACCCTCTCGCCCTTTGCCGAACTTCTGTCCCAGCCCTTATCCGCTCGCCTTAACTCTCTAATGCTCCACCCCGGAGCTCGGTAGAGAGCCCCCTGTCCCCAGCTCGGGGCACACGGAAGCCCATCGCCCGGCGCTGGTCTCTACTCCTCCTGGGGTCGCCTGAGAAACGGTCGTCAAGGAAACCGCTCCCCCTACACCGTCCGCCCTCCTCGGTAGCTGAGCTCGGGAGGGGGGAGGGGTGTGAAACGTAGAACCCAGAACACCCGCCCCTTCCCCTCTTCTCACCCGTCCGTCTCTTCGGCGTCGTCACCTTCGCCCCAGCCTCTTCCGCGCCGAACTAGGGCTTCGTTTACCTCACGGTTTCCCAACCTGCGGGTCCTGCCTTCTCACCTGCGTTCCCTCCTTTCATCCCGGTGCCCGGAACCTCTGCCGCCGACCCCGCGCCCGCCCGGAAGGAGATCCGTTACACACTTCCGCTCTCGGTCCGTGCCCTTGGGCCTCCGCGTCCTACGGGCTCCCGCTCGGCTGCCGGGTCTGCATCCGGGGAACATGGCGGCCGCCGCGGCCAGGGTCTGGTGGCGAGGGCTCGCGGGGGCCAGAGCGGTGGCCGGCGGTAAGCGGGGCTGCGCTGGCTGAGGCCAGAGTCAGCGGCGGTGGGCACGCAGCGCGGAGGGCTGCTCAGGCCTCACCTGCGCGTCTGTGCCTCTTCTCTCCCGCGCAGGGGCTGGGCGACGCTCGGCGCGGCTGCAGTGCGCGCGGCGGGAGAGCGCGGCGGCCGACTCGCGCCGTGAGTATGTGCGGGCGGCGCCCCGCTCGTCCCGCCGCCCGGGGCCCTTCGTTCCCTGTGCCAGATGCTTGCCCTTGCCCAAGGTGCCCTGCCCCGTGTCCTCCGATCTCTGCTTGTCCTTGGGCTGATTGAGCGCTCTCCACCTCGCATCCCCGTGTCTTAGGCTTCAGTGCGGCGGCCTTGGTTGCCCCCTGTCCGTTTCCACGACCCTCTTTTTCTAATTAAACTGGCAGCCTTTGGAAGACAGGAAGCAAAACTTGCATCTCAGAGAGCAGTGAGAACAGCAGCTCACGTTAACTGTGTGCTCGCTGTATGTCAGGCACCTCAGGAAGGCTTTTAGTGGAGAATATTTAGTTCTCACAATAGCCTTATGAAGTGGATGGTATTTTACTATTCATACGATAGATCAAGAAAAAAAAAAAAAACAGCCCGACCTGGCAGTGCACACCATAATCCCAGCACACAGGAGGCTGAAGCAGGAAGAGCACAGCAACTGCAAGACCAGCCTGGGCTATACAGTGACTTCAAAACCTGCCTGAGCTACATAGCGAGATCCTGTCTCCAAAAGCAGACAGACCAGATAACTAAGTTGCCGGGGTCAAGACCTAGTGAAAGAGCAGGTCTGCCCACTGCCAAAGGCAGAGAACTCTTCACCATTAGGTGAAGTTCTTACCTAGAGAACCTGGTTTAAGCTAAATGCTGAGGGTTTTTGTGTTTTGTTTTGTTTTTGAAGCAGGGTCTCACTATGTAGTTTAGGTTGGCCTTGAGCTCACTTTTAGCCCAGGCTGGTCTCAAACTTGCAGTGATCCTCCTGCCTCAGCCTCCTAAGTGCTGGGATTACAGACATGTGCCACCACATCCAGCCTAAATGCAGAGGTTAAAAAGAAAAAAACTAATTCTGGTTCCTCTGTTTAGGAGGTGCGGTGTGCGGGAGAGCTGACGCCATGCTGTGTTAGCAGAAGTGTGAAGGGACAGCCTTGGGAGAGGGTCAAGAAAAGGCAGATACCTTGACCGCACCAAGAGCCTGTCCTGATAGGGGAGGGGGTGTTTTCCCCAGGTTTTCCTTTCTTCCCCGTCCCTGGAAGAGGAACTGTCCACCTGCACCTTCCTTAGGGTTCTCTGGGGAGCCCTGCTCAGAGCCAACACCCTGTACAAGCTCACAAGACAAACACGGGCTGGCTGCTGCCTTCTCCGTTCCTTTGATGAATATGGTTTCTTTTCCAGCCACTGTTAGGCCACAGGATGCAGTGACCCACAAGCAGCTCTCAGCTTTTGGGGAGTATGTGGCTGAAATCCTGCCCAAGTATGTGCAGCAAGTTCAGGTAATGCTCGTTCCAGTAGTTGGGGTCTGAATCCCGAAACAGCCATGTTCTCAGGATGTGTGGGAGTGCACAGCCTGGCTGCGAAGAACACAGACCCCCCATCCACCCCAAACCTGGGCTTCTTTTCTCTCCCCTGAACTGAGTTAGCCCCTCTGGAGTTGGCTGCCTCCTGCACATCTGTGCCTTCCTCTCCCTCCTCTGCTGCAGGTGACCTGCTTCAATGAGCTAGAGGTCTGTATCCATCCCGACGGGGTCATCCCAGTGCTCACCTTCCTCAGGGATCACTCCAATGCACAGTTCAAATCCTTGGCTGACTTGACGGCAGTGGACATCCCAACTCGGCAGAACCGTTTTGAGGTCAGTGAAGAGTCGTGAGGAAGAAGGGTAAGAAAGGGACAGAACATTTTCAGAGTAGCAGCTACTTACAGGAACTCCTTAGGTGCAGTTTCAGGTTGTGCAGAACACTACAGTTAAACTAGGGCTTCAGAACCAGGGTGAATCCTGGCTCTGCCGCTAGCTGGCTGTGTGACTTCAAACATTCCCTTTGGGTTGCTTTGAGATGGGCCCTGGCTTATTGCCCAGGCTGGTCTCGAACTTCTGAGTGCAAAGGATCTCCTGCCTCAGCTTCTTGAGTAGCTGGGACTACAGGTATGTGCCACAACTCCTAGAGCTATTTGAGCTTTAGTTAAGTGGTGGTAGGAGGGGCTGGAGACACTGCTCAAGTAGAGGAAGGGCAAAGTCTCCATGTTCCTAGCAATTTTAGATGTTAGAAACGTACCCCAGGGCCAGGTATATAGCTCAGCACCTGCCTGGCCAGTGCAAGGTCCTGAGTTCAAGTCCTGGTACCAAAAAAAAAAAATCTGTATGTGGGAGGTTTGATATTCTGTTCCATTGAGATTTGTCATGTCCTGGGGTTTTCTTGTTAACTGGCAGAATTAGAGAGTCATTTGATATTGGAGGAGGATTTTTATCTTGGTGGCTTTGGGATGGTGATTTCTTTATAGGTAGAATTACTCAAAGGAAAGACTTGAGAATGGCCAAAGGAGCAATTAAAAATAAGACAGTAAGATCTGGAGGGAATAGCATAGTGCAGTGGTGGTGAACCTATGGCACGGGTGTCCCAGCGGGCTGTCTGTATCAGTGAAAGTTCTAGAAGATTCGCCTTATTACTGGCATAGTATTAGAGCATGAGTTTAGAGGCATGCAGAAGGCCTTGGGGTTTACACACACAGACAGTTACTACATGAGAGCATTCACCTTCATGCTCAACTAAAAAAAAAAAGGAAAAAGAACAGCAGCTGGCCCAGTGTGAGCCAGGAAACAGTAACAGCTCTGAAGTCAGTGTGATCAAAGCTGAGGTCGACCACATAGAACACCTGGTGTACCATGAGAAAGCTCTCCAACCACCAAGCATGTGTAAGTTGTAGTTGTGACCATCAGACAGAAGGCAGAGCTGGGTGGTGGCATACACCTGTAATCCCAGCACTCGGAAGGCTGAGGCAGGAAGGTTGCCCATGAGTTTGAGGCTAGTCTGGCCTACATAGTAAGTTCAAGGCCATGAGTGAGTTGAACTACACATCGGGAGCCTATCTCAGAAAACCAAACCAAAACAGAAGACAGGATCGGGTGGAACCCTGACCTACCCTGTGTCCTCCCAAGGAATGCTCTCCCCAGAAGCTCCCATTGCAGATCCCTCAAGTTGCATCATCTTGGTCCTCCTGCACCCCTGTTCTTTGTAGATTGTCTACAACCTGCTGTCCCTGCGCTTCAACTCCCGGATCCGTGTGAAGACCTACACGGATGAGCTGACACCCATTGAGTCCTCAGTCTCAGTGTTCAAGGCGTCCATCTGGTATGAGAGGGAGGTGAGTTAGAGGGCATGCTGCGCCCTGCTGCTGGGCCACAGACCGCCGTAGCCTGCTGCACTGCTAGCCGGAGAACGTCTCCTCTCCAGGTCTGGGACATGTTCGGAGTCTTCTTTACTAACCACCCTGACCTGAGGCGGATCCTGACAGATTACGGCTTTGAGGGACATCCCTTCCGGAAGGACTTCCCCCTGTCCGGCTATGTTGAGGTAGGAGCCGTGGAGTGGGGTGGTAGGCCGCGGAATCCTGGGGGTCCTGGGCCTGGCAGGAGCATGGTCTGTGGATGGTGAGATGACGATGGCCTAGAGCCTGGGCTCGGGGTCCAATGCCAGCTTCATTCTGTAAACTGGGCCAAGTCCTTCACGGGACTGTGACAGTCTCCTGGGTGTGGAAGTCCCAGTACAGCACTTACGGGATGCATGTGTCCAGCCTAGTGCACTGGGCAAGGGGTTACCTTGCCCTGCTCGGGATGCCCAGGAAGGCATTTGGCAGGGCATCTGATGGGCTGGCAGCTCGTGCCACCAAGATGGTAGAGGCCATCCTGGACTCACACTGGCTGGCCGGAGTGTGACCTGAGGAGTGACATGGTGTGGATGGGGACTGACAGAGCCTGGAAAGAGGCTGAAACAGGTCAAGGACACAGCTGGGTGTGGTTGTGCCTGTGATCCTAGAACCCAGGAGGCTGAGGCAGGAGGATAATCACAAGTTCATGGCCAGTCTGGGCTACATAGTTAAGGCCAGCCTGGACTAAATAGTGAGACCCTGTCTCAGGAAGAAAGTCCAAGACAGAGGGCCAGAGGCCGGGGTCCTCCATGGCGCTTTCCGTACCCACCCACGCCCGCCTTGTGCTCCCGCAGTTGCGCTATGACGATGAGGTGAAGCGTGTTGTGGCTGAGCCAGTGGAGCTGGCCCAGGAGTTCCGCAAGTTCGACCTGAACAGCCCGTGGGAGACTTTCCCTGCCTACCGCCAGCCCCCCGAGAGCCCCAAGCTCCAAGCCGGAGACCAGAAGGCGGAAGCCAAGTAGCTTGCAGGAGGTGTGTGGATCCTGGAGAGCACCGTGCCTGCCTGCGTGGGACAAAGTCTGTAAATAAATTCCTGCCTGGACTCACGCTTCCTGTGTGCTCAGTGGGCAGAGGGGGAGGGGCTCCTGCTCTGCAGAGAACCTGGCTTGGAAGCAGGGAGGCTGGGATGGGCCTCAGTAGCGAGCGTGCAGACTGCGCAGAGGCCTGGATACTTTTTTTTTTGTCAAAAAATAGAGTCTCAGTATGCACTCAGGCTGGCCTTGAGCTCACTTTGTAGCCCAGGCTGGTGTCAAACTCGTAACAATCCTCCTGCCTCAGCCTCCTGAGTGCTGGGATTATAGGTGTGCGCCACCATGCCCAGCTCTTTCCTTTCTGAGATAGGATCTCACAGTGTAGTTCAGGTTGCCCTTGAGCTTGCAGTGATTCATGCACCACCACATCCAGCTTGGGTGTTCCTGAGAGGGATTCTGGAGGTGGGGTTCTAGTGCTCATAGTGCGTTAGAATGGGTGGGTAGGGCTGGGGATATAGCTCAGTGGCATAAGTGCCTGCCTGGCAAGCGCAAGGTCCTGAGTTTGATTCCCAGTACCAAAAAAAGAAAAAAAAGAATGGGTGGGTGTGGCTGGCCCCAATGAGAAAGACCCCATCTCAGCAGACTGGTGGCAGCTGACAGGTCCACGGGCATGGGTAGCACCGGGCAAGCCCCATCTACTCTCACCTACCTATGAAGGGTTCTTCTTGAGCCAGCAGTGGGCCAGGCAGGTGACCTCAGCATCTCTCCAGTCTCAAGCCCTGTGTCAGCTTCCGGTACCTAAGAGCCCATCGTTCTCAGGCTAAAGGACTCTGCTGGGTTTGTGGCCTGAGCCAAGAATGCTGCTAGCAAGCAGAGGTGGTCCTGGAGCTGGGACAGAAAGCACTCGGCACAGGCTCTGTGCCACCAGCAGGGAGGGCTCCAGCCAGCTGCTCTCGTCCTGTGGGGGAGACGCCACGTAGGGCCCTTGCTGTCCAGCCAAAGGACTGGCTCCTTTTCTGTAGCTGATCTGTGCTGGCTGAGGGGCTCCCTGGAGTGCACTGGGTGGGCGTCGGGGGACTCTGTAGCGACCTTTGAGGGGAAAAACAGGAAGGCAGGGTTACCGCCTGGGGTCTTCCTGCACCAGGGAGGGCTGAGCCAAAACTGTCTGCTACACACTCCTCTTCCCATTAACTGTAACTGCCAAAGCAGGGCTTCCCCACTCCTAAGGCTGGAAAGAGGCCTGGGAGGAGACGAGGCTACAGCCAGCCCCACCCTCGCGCCTGACACGCACAGCAGAGCTGGAGCAGCCGGTGGAAAGCTGGGAGTGGTGTGTGGCTGGCAGATAAGGGGCCAGAGCTGCTGGACTGAGAGAGACTGAGGACGTGGTGGGCATGGCCGGGGCGCTGCGGGGCCTGCTTCACCTGGTGGCTGCCATCTGTCTCCTCCCTGGGGTGACTGTGACCCCACACCTTGCAGGTAACAGGGCTTCAGGGGCAGTGCCTTGAAGGTCAGAGAACTGTGGGCTGCTGGGGACCAAACCAAGGGGTGCTGCAGTGGGTGAGGATGTGGACGCACCCCCAGAACCAAGAAAGTCCGCACAAAGCCTGTGGAGAGTGTTGGGTGACCCGGCTCCAGACAGCAGGGCTTGGGCTCATTCCAGCTGATGTCCACAGCAGGGTCTCCTGGTCTGGGACAGTCGTTGCAAGGGCAAGCAGCACCACAAGGTGGGGGGGCAGAGCAAACTGCCGGTCCCGTCTTCGCCACCTTACACACCATCCAATACTGAGGAGCCAGCCAACAGAAGGCCCTCCCCAAAGAGGGCCTTGTCCGCCCCGGACGCTCACTGGCACTGTGAGGTCACCCTGTCCCCAAGTGACTGCAGGGAGGGAAAAAAGGAGGGAAGGGTCCTGTGGCCCACTGCCTTGGGGCTCTTCACCAGGCCACTGTACACGTGGAGGAGAAGCCCTGGGCATCCGCCTGGACCGTCGGGGGCTTGGTGGGATTCTCTGGAGTCCCAAGGCCCGTGCCTGGGAGGGTGACGTCAGCGTTTGTGCACACAGGGGACAGGGCTAAGCTGGCACTCCTAGAAGATGACCTATTAGGGACCCTCCTGGCAGCTGAGGAGCACTGGGGTGTTCAGGGTGGAGGGTGGCAGGGCCTGACTCCTCTCTGCTGCCCCAGGGCAGTCCGTGGACAGCGCCAGCATGGGAGGTGGCCTGCAGGAGCCAGAGGCCCCGGAAGTGATGTTTGAGGTCACTCCCCAGCCCGGGCCATGGGGGCGGGAGCATCCAGAGGTCCCTCATGCGATGTCTTGGTGTGGGGCTGCTAGGGCGGTGGGCAGCCCCGGCTGGGTCCTATGCTGGTTACACCCCACTGGGCCCCTCTTGCTCCCTGCCCTGCCCTGTCCCCCGGCCACTGCCATCCCTGAAATGGCTCCTCTTGCAGTTGCTCTGGGTCGGGCTGGAGCTGAACGTCACAGGGCAGCTGCACATCTTGGACGAGGAACTGGCATCCACACGGCCAGGACGCCGCCTCCAGCTCCTCCTGCAGCAGCTCACGCCCAGGGACTTGGAGGGTGCTGAGCGGCGGCTGCAGCAGCTCCAGGCCCTGCGGGAGGGGCCTCCCCTCAGCCCTTGGGACTTCCAGCAGCTGCTCCTCACAGGCCTGTCCTGCATCTACCGGCTGCATGCGGCCAGTGAGGCTGAGGAGAGGGTTCGCTGGGCACACGTCTTCACCCTGCTGACACAGGAAGTGCTCTGGGACCTGTGCAAGGACTTCTGTCCCCAGGGCCAGCCCCCTTCCCTGGAGACCTGGGCCTCCATCTTTGACCCTGTCCCCTGACCCCCCGCTTTCACCTGCCATTTCCTCCTCCCCTCGATCCGAGCTGGACCCGTCCTGGGCAGGGCTCCCACGGACACCTGGCTCTGCCTACTCAGACCTCTGGGCTTGGCTTGCACCCTGGGAACCTCTACCCCGATGCTTACCCCACCCTACCCTGCTCCCTGCACCCTGAAAGGCGCCGAGTCCAGGGCCTGGGTGCAGGTGGCAGGCACACAGCTAACGGCAGGGCCTGAAGACAGTGCGCCTGTGGGAGCCAGGCCTCGGGACTGAGAACGGTGTTTAAGTGATGGAAACCGCCCCAAGCAAGCTCAGCGCTGACCCTGTGACTCCCGGCCGGCAGGCAATGGGGGAGGCCCTGTGGGATCCCAGCACCCAGTCCTCATCTCCACAGCCCCTTCAAGCCTGAGCAAGGCTCCGCCCCGCTCCCCACCCCCGGGCCCAGCGCCCCAGCCGGCCAGAGCGCAGACTGGGCTGCCCAAGTGTCTGTCCGTGGAGGGGAGGAAAGCAGGTGGAAGAACATTATGTCTTTGGGGAGGGAGGAAAAAATGACTTTGGTTCCATGTCAACAAGCCTCCAAAGAGCGTGTCTGCCAGAATGGGGCCGGAAGGGGACCCACCATTCGGACCAGCTGCGGGAGGCTGGCTGGGTGGAGCCCTGCCTGTGTAGCTCTTCCCATAAAGGACTGCTCTGGCCCCGGAGAGTGTGTCCTTCTACCGCCTCTAACCCCATCCTGGCCTACTGCCCTCCTCACCCTGGGAGCAGGAGGCTGGACAGCCAGGCATCAGCCCTTCATCCCATTCCCACGCTCTCCTGGAAGAAACACGCTTTCCACCGAGCCTAGCTGGACATTGGGAAGCTGTCCCTTGTCCTAAACAGGGGTCACCAGGGCCTTATAATAAGGTCGTAGGGCCGGGGATATAGCTCAGTGGCACAAGTGCCTGCCTGGCAAGTGCAAGGTCCTGAGTTCGATTCCCGGTACACACACACAAAAAAGTCGTAAATCAACAGGTGCGGTGAGACACATCTGTAATCCCAGCACTCAGGGAGGCTGAGGCAGGAGGATCACAAGTTCAAGCCTAGCCTGGGCAATTTATTGATTTACCCAGACCCTGTCTCAGAATAAAAAATACAACGGGGGCCCGGGGGTTGGCGATGTAGCTCAGCTCCAAGGACTGGATTCTATCCCTAGTGTACCAGGGAAAATATGGGAGGGGCAGACCCGAGGTGCGACCCACCCCGGGACAGGCGAGCACTGCCATCGGATGCCCACTGCTCACGCGCGCGGCCGACCCGACCCGGCCGCGGCCCGGGCAGAAGAAGCGGCACAGCGGAGACGGCGCAGGCGCACTTTATTGGCGGAGGCCAGCGGGGGTGTCCGGGCGCCCCGCTCGCATGCTCGCCCCGCCTCCGCCCCGTCCCGCCCCTCTTCGGCCGGCCTCAGAGCTCCGGGTCGCCGCCGGCGGCGAGGTCGGGGTACACCAGGAAGCCGGAGAAGGTGATGTACTTGCCGTGGTTGCTGTAGGCGCCGTAGCCGTCGTGGTCGTGGCTGAGCAGCCACACGGCGTCGCCGCGCCGCAGCGGCAGCATCACGCTCTGGCTCTGCATCTCGCGGCGACGCGACGCGCCGTCGTCGTAGATCATGGCCTGCACCTCGTCGCGGTTCTTCATCAGCTTCACCGACAGCGTCTTGCGCGGCATCTTGCCCAGCGTGAAGGAGAAGAAGTAGGCGCCGGGCAGGCGGCAGCGGAACACGCCGGCCGCCGCGTCGAAGTCGCCCCCGATGTTGACGAGCTCGGTGTCGAAGGCGAGCGGCCGGTGCCGCG